ATAAAATAAATGTATTTTAATATAAAATTTTATAAAAAATTTAAAATATAATTAAAATAAAACTTACTACAGGTGATCTTGAAGATTATTCCAAATTCTAATATTAAATTTAAAATTAAAGTTTCACGTAAAATAAAATAAATAAATATATAATAAAATTAACAAATATTAACCTGCTATTCATCTACTGGCTGCATAAATCATTTTTGAATTTTTCAAGGCGTTCTGATTATTTTGGTCTCATAAAAAAATCAATAAGACGTTTAGCACGACCAACTAATACTCTAATAGGATTTAGACCTTTTCCTACTACAAGTTGCAAAGTATATGCAACGCAAGGCTGCCATGAAATATTATTTGTTACAGATTCCATATCCTTAATAGCTTTTTGCATATTTTTTCCATTACAGCATCAGTTGTTATTATAAAAACTTTGTCTTAAAGTTTCTATTCATCTAATGTTACTAATAATGAATCTCCAATATTTTTGGCTGTATGAGAATAAGGAATATATTCGACTGAAAGAATAATTTTATGAATTTAAAATTTAGGATTGAGATATGAGCATATTATTCTTAAAAATCCTTGGCGATTTCTTCCTATCCAAAGATCACAAGTTAAGAATACTGAATTAGCTTCTTTTTCAGCTTTTCCATAATTAATGGCATTGAATAATTATATGCCTGATGAATAAGCTTTTTTATATACTTTGGATTAGGAATTTGAAATTTCAAATCCAATTGAGAAATTAATCTTTTAAATGCTGGATTTAAAAGGACAGTAAGTGATTGAGAATCACATATAATCCAATCTGCAAGATATTGACATAATTCAAGTTGACATGATTCTTGATGATGAATTTTCTTGGAAAATGCTTTTACAATATCTTGATTTTGATTTGAATTCTTTTTTTAAGAAAAAAAGATTTCTTAATTATCATTTATAAAATTAATTAATTATTAAAAATACACTTACAATATTAGCTTCCTCTTGCTCTTTAATTATTCCATAAATATTTGCAAGATGTTCAAAGCAATTACTAGTGGATGTACCGACCTTATAGATCTATTCACATTTCTTTCCAACTATTACTTCTACTTGACAAATTGCATATCTTACTCCTTCTTTAAAATGAGGTTCAAAGTATTTCCAAATCCAACTTCTAACTTTACTTCCTCCACGAATTTCATTTAACTTAACCTTTTTATGGTTTAGTTGCTCTGGTTCAGTATCACTATGAGGTTCTTCAACTTCATTAATCATTGTTTTTATTGGTCCAAGTGTTTAATTAAAAAAAAATGCATTATTTCGCATTTATTCTATTTTCTTTATATAGTAAATTAATACATTTAGATTTTACAATTTAGGGAATTTGTTAGCAATATGTATAGCGCTACAGCATATATATTAGGTTAAATGAATTATACAGATTATTACGAATAATTTGGTGAAAATCTGTTCAAAATTTTTATAATCCGTATATCATTTGGTCAAAAATAACTATATTCGTATTATGATTTAATCCAGATTTTGACTAGATGATCAGATTTTGAATGAACAGATCACACCTCTACTCTACCTGCATCTCGATCGCTACATGATAATATCATTGATCTTATTCTTCCACAATCCTCATACTCAACTCAACTCAAATCTATACAATCTGCAATTATTGATGCCAGTTCCTTAGTTTTCTATACAGATGGTTCACTTGACAACGCTCGTTCAAAAAACTTCAAAATGTGTCTCAATTGGATTTGTATAGACAATCATGCTCACCACCATAATTTTTCTGCTTCTTTATCACATTGGCCATCATCAACTAGAGCTGAAATTTATGCTTTTCTCACTGTCATACTTGTCACTCCTCAATCAGCTACTTTAAATATATACACTGACAGTCTTGCCTTCATCCATAGCTTTCATTCTTATGTGTTTGACTCCAGACTCTCCAATAGAAAAATGGAACTGATTCCTAACTATATTATCTAAAATCTTATCCAGTATGTACACAATACGCTCAACCTCTATATTAACCTATTTAAGGTCAAATCGCACACTGGAGATATCCCAAATGATTAGGCTAACATTTTAGCCAAAAATGAAAGACACTTACCTCCGATCTCCTCTAACATTACTGGTATTAGCTCGAGAAACCTTACTCTACTGTTCAATAATATTCCTATAGAGTCATTCATATAGAAGTTTTTAAGGATTTCTTCTCTGCCAATACTTTTGGCACTTTCCTCACGCTTTCTCGTAATGAACCAATTAAACTCTTGACTATTAGCCCATCTATCAATTGGAATACTACATGGAAATTTCTTTCATTAGATTCTTCATCACTCGTCACATCATTTGATTCTATTAGACTAAAGACCTTTATTTTCAAAAATTTATTAGACGAACTTCCTGTTACAGCTAAAATGGCTTAGCTTTTCCCTGACCTTTACAAAGATTGGAAATGTGTCAGCTGTAATGTTTACACAGAAACTATTTCACATTTATGGCAATGTTCAGCTTAAGATTCAAGGATTACCACAATTATTCTTCTAACAAGAAAATTTTTAGATAAACTTCTCGAAGTACATTTTTTCGATTCTTCCCTGATCATCGAAATTAATACCATTTTCACTCAAGCAAGCATTCAGTATCTCTTCAGATACTTGTCTCATTCATATTATAAAAGCTTTAATCTCAACCTCTCTTGTATCTGTCATCTATAAAACTACACAAAGCAGAAACAAAGCTATTAAAATCATTACACAACTCTTTTTGTACTTTTTTCAAAAAATGTATGAAGTTGTTTGAAAACCTCATTGCAAACTTATGATTACTAAAGAAAAACGTTTGAGCATATTCTCAAAAGACAAATATTTACGCGGTGTCAATAAATCTTTGGGTCACATTAATAATCAACATGCTTTTAACATGTGAAAAACTTGGATACACCTTTCGATCAAGTATGGTAACAAATTTTCAGATTTTTAGATAGGCACTAACTTTCTCTTTTTCTTTTCTTTATGATAACAGTAGTCATTAGATATGTATTTAGTGGGTCTGTTGGAAGGGATAGATGATGATAGGTTGATTCAAATGGGTTTGTAATATAATCACGCAGGATAGCTAATACTTATATATAGATTTTTACGATTTACTTTTTTGTATTTTGTATAAATTTAATAAAGTTATTGGCAGTGTCACATCGTAAAAAAAAAATATTTATATATAGCATGAAGCGATCTTGTAGATCGATTTTTCAATGAATTTTAGCTTGCTAGAATCAATTCAGTATCGGTTTTTGGGTAGTCGGCCTACTGAAAAAAAATTTTACATTTAAATTTCATTAAGTAAAAATATTTGATGTAGATTGCTAAATTGCGCAAAATTGGTCTTAATAATCGTACTTCAAATTTTTACTGAATGTTAGCTAGGTTTTGGAATTTAAAACAAATACAAAAAGATATTTCTAAAATTCATGGTTAGTGAGTTATAAGCTTTTAAATGCAAGCAACTCTACTTGCATTTCTTTTGTAAGCCACTATATATTTATCAAAGCATTTCACATTCTCTCTCTATCTAAAATATATTTGTTATTATTTATGTTAAAAATCCTACACATTTATCAATTCTAATAACTTCAATAAATTGATAACTACTAAAATTTGTAAAATATATTTGTCTATAATAAAGATGAGCACCATAATTAAGAAGTTGCAATTAGTTGCAACTTCTTGTAAATTTATTTTAATATAAAAATTCATAAATAGTTGCAACTCAAAGTATTGCAACTTAAATTGCAACTAGTTAAAAA